GAAATGAAAACATTTGTTGTAATAATGGCAGTGAAATCTCAAGCAATGAATGCGAACGTTGTCCTGAAGTTGATTATAAAGAAGTTGTCCTTCAGCTGATGGAATGGTAGAGAAGTTCTACTCATTTCACTGATATCTCCTTATTTAGCCAAAAGGCAAAGAGGAGGTACTCTTTCGTCACGTTTTCCTCTTTACAAAAACAATTTTAATTTATTCATTATTTGCGAATTATTACACAATCACTGCAAATACCTTAATAAACAATAAAGATTGAAGTTATTTTGTAATTTTAGCAATTTTTAATTCAAGAATATTAACTATAAGTTTATTAACACAATGTGTCATACAGCAAAATAGATTCCAATTATAATAATGCATAGCAGTGTACTGTAGTTGTCTATAATAATTATTATTAATGAAAATAGTTTCTAATTTATATAAAACTAATACTTTGATTACTATATGCCTAAACATAACAATTAACATTTTATTTAAACAATCACATTAACATTTAGTATAATTTAATAGTTATATAATTTAATGTTTATATTTAGGTGATTAAGTGTAACAAAAATGAAATTATAGTAAAATAATTAATAAATTAAAAAGTATAGTAAAGTAAAGGTTTTCACTTTATAAATATTCGCTGTCTTTTGTTTTCTTGATCAAAACACAAGTGTTTTTAACCCCAGTAAACACGTTTTTCATTTCAAAATAAGTTAACTAAACAGTTGTTTTTGTACAATTGCATATTAATTTTGCAATTTTAAACACTAATCGTATAATACATAAATTTAAACAAATAATAAAATAACGCAAATAGCACTCAAACCGCCGTCTCTTTGCGCTGACTATTCGTAACCAGACTTTGATTTATGACATTATTTTGATCACAAACTTTCACTTCATTTGCTTTACTCTGCAAATCCGTTTGACTCGATTCCGTGGCTTCATTTGGCGCTACTTTTGTCTCATTAGTGGGCTCTGGAGTGGACGACACTTCCATTGGCTCGCCTGCAGACCCGTTCAAAAGTATCATCTTTTGGTTGCTGTTGTTATTATCAAACACTTTGGCCTCTAATAAAGTGATGCTTTTGTTGACTGCAATGACAGCCCCCTTACGGGCGGCGCGCACCTCCTCATTGCCATCCGTGTCAATGGTGTCCAACTTAATCATAAACCGCGTCAGCATTTCATCCAAATAGCGATACTTCTTGTCAGTGGCCGTCCCATTGAATTCATTCACTTCGCTCTCGTATTTCTTGAGATCACGCAATATATTACTAATCGTTTCCAACGGATCCGCTTTCGGCACAACTTTCCCCTCCAAAGGTTCGGTCGGCGGAGAGTTGGTCTGACTGTCCGTCTGTTGCGAGACAGGGATTCGAGTGACAAACGGACCGGACTTTCGCTTATTTATTGGTTCCGTCGATGGATTGGTCTTAGCTTTTGGTAATGAACTCGACTTCACATTGGATTCAATTTTGACGGGAATTTGACGGACGCGTGGCTTAGAGTCAGTCGATGCGGTCGAGTGCTCGGAGGACACACTCTTGGCAGGACTGGCCGCCCGGTTGTCACCTGTGGGCCCACCTGTGGTCACACCAGTGCTGTCGGCGCTGTTGGCACTCGAATGACTCGATGAACGACTTAATGGCTGTTGAGGCGCACCATTGCTCTCGGAAGTGGAGGTATAGCCAGAACTGGTGGACCCCTCCCTGGGCTCCACACGAATGGGAATGTGATGTACTCTGGGCTGCGATGACGACTGCCGTGGATTGGGATCCACACCATTCGAGTTGAAAACACTTCCAGCGCTTCCACTGCTGTGAGACGTATCACTACTTCGATGGCTTTGAGACGAAGACATCGATTCCCTCTTCCTTTCATTGTTTGCCTCAGAGTTTGGTCTCTCGTCTGACATCTCGTGAAACACTTTAATAGGAATCCCTTCCTCTTCAGCATCAGATGCCTTCGGATTGTGGTTTAAATTTTTAGACTGAAATTCAAATACAAGACATTAGATCCAGTGGTAGATAAGACACCAGTGATGGTCATAAAGACATGACACTTACCATCGAATGGTTGTTCGTGGCGTCGGGCCATCGGCTGCCGATCTTCGAGTCTCCAAACATTTGGTTTGGATTTTGAGAGAAGTTCTCAAAGCGTTTCCTAAACTCTTGGAGTCTGGACTCGGGATCACCTAATGGTGAGAATCGGTCCAAACGATTGCGAGTGAAACTCATTGTAGGACTCAATGTATGAATGAATGACTGATTCAGAAGTTCTCAAAGCGTTTCCTAAACTCTTGGAGTCTGGACTCGGGATCACCTAATGGTGAGAATCGGTCCAAACGATTGCGAGTGAAACTCATTGTAGGACTCAATGTATGAATGAATGACTGATTCAATGGATAATGCGTTCAAAGTATTTATCCTTCAATTCAATGACAACTCAATGCAAACCAATTCTCTCAACACTTATACGAAGCAATCGCTTAACGCTAATAAGGAGTGGTCTATGAGTTAAGCCTTTATTACATCAATCATTCAATGCATGAGTAATCGGCAGCCAATCAGCGCTGCTTTCTCTCCAAAATGGGAGGAGTTTTGCCAAAGTTCTCAACGATTCTGGAAAGTGCTGTCCAATGATGTAATCATGCATTCAATAGTGTTGAGTGAATGCAACCCCTGTGTACACACTTCACGACACTACACATGATTACATTCTCATCAATATTGATGTACTGAATATCGCATCACTTTTTATCTATACTACTGTATAGATTCTATACTGCATTACAGAATATAAGATCCATACAATTGTGTCATAAGAAATGTACTTGATCATTATACTATTGAATGAATGCTCATTGAATAAACACCAAGTTTAGTAACTTTGAAACATTAATGACCGTATATTACAGTATTAATGGTATTACTATAAATAGATCAACTGTTAGATGATTGAATTGATTTGAAACAAAATGTTTAAAACTTTTATTTAACGATAAGATAAAAATACATCACAAAAAGAAAAGAAGTTAAACAAAATGTTGAATAATTTCTGTTTATCATATCATTATATTAATATGGCATTCTCTCTTAACTGATTTAGTAACTGTAATGACATATATTTCGGCTATTCACAAGCTGTTAATTTCTGTTAAGTTACCTATTATTTGCTCTTCTTTATAAAATGAAATAATTAATCGAAACATTCAAATGAAATAAATTCAAAGAATAATATTTACGGTAATAGTTCCCGAATTCTGGAATAACATAACATATACTTTAAACGTTACTTAAATATATATTTAAATTTGAAAACCACTCAAAATTCGAGATATAATCATAATATCAATAAATGAAACAAATTTTTAATTATCATTCATTGGATCTCATAATAGTTTTTAAAATATAGCTTTAAATGAATTCAAACAACTCATCCAACATCCGTTTCACTTCATTTGATAATCATTTGATTGGACTTTATTTGGTTTTTAATTCGAGTCGACTATCGTCTTAATAGAAATTGTAATAGTTTTCTGTATTTTACTCTTTTTTGAATCTCGTTTTAAGCCAATTGTCAAGCAATTGCATTGATCTTATAACGAGTTCATAGCTCCTAAAGTGTGGATCAGTTATTGTCTTCAGACAGACTGACTGACTGTTCGGTGAATTAATCATTGGATCTTCGATTTCCAAATTAGTTATGAAACGCTTCCAATTCATGTCCGCTTTTGTGCTCTTATATCAGTACACGTTTGTGTCATTCCATAAGTCATATAATTGTAACTTTAATTGTAATCAATACGGCTGTGAATACTGTGCGCCAACTTGTGAGGCCATAAAGAAGGCGTTTCGGTCCGTCTGATAACTCGACTCTTGAGACAGCATTCCCTCGGCTTGTGATCGCAGGTCATCCACCGAATACGGGTCCTAAACAGTCGTCAAATCACACAAAACATAATCAGACCAAGAGTTCACTAATACTACTCAAATACTACACATTTAAATGTTACCGTATTATGAAAATAAAACATATAATTTATTTGTAAATTTATAAAATATATATAGAAATCAAATAACAAAAACAATAAATAAATATAATGTGAGAAAAAGTGTAGAAATAAGACAAAGAGACGACACAACAAAACACAACAAATGAACATTTAATCAAAAACCTGAGAGAGTTCTGTCTGCGAGAGGCAGACCTGTGAGAGGCCGGGCTGTGACAGACTTGGATACGGCGGTTGACTCATCTGACTCATGGAGAGCTGGCCCTGAGTGAGGGGTCCCTGGGATAGAGATGATCCGCCGAGACTCGTGTCCTGAGAGGCCGGTTGGCTCGTCGGGAAGAAGTCCGACTCATTCTTATTTGATCGACGGTTTGAAGTCGACATTCGGTTCGGGTTTCGGTTAGAATTGGCTTTATTTCTCTGGCCAGTGATGGGTGGCTGTCGAACGGGTGCACCCATATTGGGCTGGTTGTAAAATCGCGGCGGAATGTGAGTCATATTCATAAACATCCCTAACGGCACCGGAAGATTGGTGAGAGCGGCGTTGGTTTGGGCCCTATCCTGACTTATGTATGACAACTGGTCGTGCGCTCTATAGTAGTGCGGGAGAGGCGGTGCTCCTGACATATTTAGTGCACTGTTGAAAGGGGTCTGTTGTCCGGCACCGGACCGGTCGTAAACACTGCCCGGAATCATGGCTTCTCTGGCGTCAAACATCGCCGTCTGCATGAAGTGTGAGCCGGGATTCAAAGAGTTAACCATTTTTCGGGGTTTACTGAACTGAATGAGACTCTCCTTGAGGTTGTTGAGGGGGCCCTCCACTAGCACTTTGTTCTCCTTATAGAAGGTCAGCAAATGGTTCCAAAGGGGTTGTTTGGACAGCACTTTAGGGTTTCCCACAACTATTATGCCATATCGAGCTCTAGTGAGCGCCACATTGAGACGTCTCGGGTCGTTAAGAAAGCCGATGCCCTGGTGTTCGTTAGAGCGCACGCACGACATAATGATGAGGTCCTTCTCCCGGCCCTGGAAGGCATCGACTGACGCGACTTCGATCTCCTGATAGAGTTTCGCGTGAAAAGAGCCGTTGTATTGCATGTATTGGACCAGATATGCGCGTTGGCCCTCATAAGGAGTGATCACTCCTATCTGTTCCGGTTTGACCCCACACTTGAGGAAACGAGTGGTCAACTTTTCGACAAACGAGGCTTCAGTGCGATTGAGGTACGAAGTGCCGGATCCGGCGATCTCTTCCTGGCCCTGACAGCAGTAGAAGAACATGGGTTTATCGGGTTGAGGCCACGGGAAGTCTATTCCCTTCATTCTTCGCTCATCAGAATAGACTCCGTTCTGAAGGGATCCCTCGTAGAAGAAATTGGAGGGAAATTTGCTTAACGATGGATGCATTCTGTACTGCACTTCCAGACGAAGCGGACGTATTCCCAGAACTACGAGCCTCTCGAAGAGTGACTGCGAAAGGCCAGCGCGCGCCGCCTTTTTGCACATAACCACTGGTCCCAATTGACAGTGATCTCCAACCAATACCAGTTGCTTCGCTCCCAACACTACGGGAACCATACATTCCGGTTCAGTCGCTTGCATTGACTCGTCGATAAGTATTGAGTGAAACTTGAAGCGCACTAAACGTGGGTCTCCGGCGCCGACACACGTACAGCATATCACATCCGCCGCTTCCAGCAGTTCCCGTTCGCAAGTCTTCTTCAATATCCGATATCTCTTCTCATCAGCAGAAGACAGTTCTCCGGTTTCATCCTTCAGTTGTTGCAGTTTATGGAGCTCTGAGTGTCCGTCCATATTGCGGATCTGGTTGTGAAGGGCAAGGAAAGAGACGGGAGAATTGATGGCTTCCCTACTCTTAGCGCACAATCGAACCACTTTTAGGCCAGTTTTGTGTATCTTCTCAGTCAACTGATCCACAGCTATATTACTCGGAGCGCACACCAAAACGGGTGTATTTCCAGTCTTCACCAAATGATACACAATTGTAGCCGAAGTGACAGTCTTTCCGGTTCCGGGCGGGCCTTGAATTAGCGAAAGAGGTCTTTGTACCGAATGCTTGACGGCATAGACTTGCGATCGATTCAGTTCTGGTAAATTAGGCGCTGAGAACTGCTTGGGAAGCGAACAGCGCATCACCACGTCTTCAATCTCATGGCCCAGAAGTTTGTGGTATATATAGCCCGACACCGAAGACTCATCCATTGCGAATTTACGTAACGCGCCCTGCATTCTGGTGGGACGGGTGGGTCACAGGTTTAGTTAAATATTCACAAAACGTGAGTTAAAAGTGAGACAAACCTATCAAATGAAGTAGACTTCCACACAAAATCGACCACAAAATTAGAGGTGCATTCCGTGGGAACGCCTGCATTGCTCTTCAGCTCAATGCCTACTTCTTCACTAAAGTTGTCGGGAATTTTAGTCACGTGTCCGACACCAGCCCATGGTTTGAGTAGTTCTCCCAAATACCGGAGCCTGAGTTCGTCGCCGTGCATAAGACGCATATCAGTGTCTGATTTGGCGATATTGAAGAACCCGATTATCTTCTTATTGAGTCCGATATCCCATCGAACCTCAATGTTGTCCTGTGTTTGTGATTCCTTGAGCTTCTTGTCGTAATCGGCTTCCATCTTGACTAACGGCCCGAAGATGTTCTGGTATTGATAGCCGTCTTCGTATCGCAACAACACCTGTTGGGGCTCTTCATCGACACCCGGTTTCTCCAAGTCTTGAAACGTGGCCTCAATATTGCCGTCTTTCCAAAGCTCTTCCAATTTGTTGATCTGTTGAGCAGTGATCTGTCGGGCCCTCAGCTGTTCCTGTTCTGACGGCACTTTCACCAGCCATGAGAGGAACGTGCGATCGTTGATTAGGGGTTTCCACTGATCCGGATCCCAATTCATGTCTTTGAGACTGCTTTGAGCGGCACAGGGCTGACGACACAACAGCACCACCACTGAGTCGGCTTTGGCCGGAATGAAGCCGAGGACAAAGACGTTACGACAGCCACAGCTGTAACACTCGAGTACCGTCTCTCCCAGTGGCCCGTCCTTATGAAGAGTCACTTCCTTGTGCTTAGCTCTCACTAAATGGTTGACCGCATGACTGCCGGACGTATTGCCCCTTCCGTTGCAGAACCACTTCTTGCAGAGATTGCATTGAATGACACAACTCGGGTCATGAATGCCACAGTATTTGCACGCGTGCTCTGGAAGTGCTTTACTGTAGTACTGGTCCTCTTCGTCCTCTTCGAAGTTGAGTTCACCGAACGAATGGGTGATTGGATTCACGTCCGAAGACAAGCCATTCGAGAGTTGCGATTCTCTCTAAGAAGTCAATCAATCAATCTTCAATGAAAAGAGATGTCAATCAATGGCACAACAAATACATACATTATTTCTTTGCGACAAATTGGTGTCCACTTGACTCGCCTGCGACTGCGAGGGGAGTGTGAAGTCATTGAAGTCAAACTCCGAGCCCTGAGTGTCGGCGCCCAACAACTCATTGGCGTCTTCCGGGTCTAAGAACGTCAGTGTCTGTGAATTGTGGCCACAATTACCAGAACTGTGTCCGCAGTTCAGGCCATATGTTTCACAACTCATTATCTGCTCAATAGATCAGTCAATTCACGTCATTGTGGACAGCAATGAAGGTATGGATCAAATAGTGATCAAATGAATGGTTACCTGAAATGGATGTCTGTATCGACACAAACAGCTATTAAAGCAAATGTTGTTTCAGTAATGAGTCAAACAGTGACTGACTCTCTCTCTCTCACTCTCTATTGCGAGACAACTCTCTCTCTCTCCTTCTCTCTCTCTCTCTCTCTCTCTCTCTCTCACTATTGGCTCTCAATTGAAGCCTAGAGTGGGTTCACGCGATGCCCTCACTGTTGGCCCTCAAGTGGACCGCAATATCACATGAATGGTGTGAATGATGTCTGCTATGAATATAACCGCAATCGACGACATTCAACGTTACTTCAGTCCATCACTGATCACTTGATCTCAACCTAAGCTATAACGCCATCTTATTATCAACACATGTATTGCATTCAATGCACTCAATACTCAAATAATACTCTCTTTACTGTTATAATACTTTTATAACGTAACACTCTAATCATTACTATTATTATTCACATTCATTTTGCATAGTATTACGAAATATTCATAAATGTCCAATAATTTTGCATTCAATTATTCACAGGTATTCATACAGTATGTGCCACTGAACGACCAATACTTAACATTTAACACTTTTTTCACTATTTAACCAAAAAGTCCACTATTTTCCCATAACTTTATTACCGGTACACTAATTAATTAAATGTAACACTGATACTTCCCATTACTTCTAATTATGTGTGTGTGTGTGTGTGAGTGAGTGAGTGAGAGAGAGAGAGAGAGAGAGAGAGAGATTTGAAATGGTCTATACGGGTAATGCACTAATTTACGGCCACTTGTGATCTCTTTACAAAACTAACCAAATGTTTGCCTAAATCCGTTCATTTGATGAAATTTATTGAAACATTCAGTGAATTGAATGAATAATATTTCTGTAATTGGGTTTCAATTAGAAATGAGTTTTAACTAATAATAAGTTTTCAAAATAAGTGTAATTCAAGAAAACATTTTATTAATTAATCATTTGATTACAAAATTCCGATCATATCTAAGCCGATGAAGAGCTGGCAGTTTTGCCTCCGGAAGAGGCGGACGATCGCCTTCGACGGGCTTCCTCTGCCTTCTTCTCTTTGGCCTCCTTTTGTCTCTGAGCCAGAAGTCGGGCGTATTCTGAGGCCTGATCTCTGCGTTTGACAGCTCTCTGTCTCTTCTTCGCGAGACGCCTTCGTTTTCGTTGAACCACTTTCGGAGTGATTAAGCGCTGAATCTTCGGAGCCTTACTTCTCGGCTTTTTGCCCTCTTTGACGGCCAGCGGTCTGCGGACCACATATTGTCTGACGTCGTCTTCTTTCGATAAATTAAAAAGTTTGCGGATTTTGTTGGCTCTCTTGGGACCCAATCGACGGGGAATAGTGGTGTCCGTCAGGCCGGGGATCTCTTTCTCGCCTTTGGATCAAAACATTTACATTAATACCAAATACGAGGTTTTGAGAGGAAAGAGACAAACCTTTCTGGACCACCACCAGAGCCAAGACGCTGAGGTTGGCGTCGACTATACATCCTCTGACAGACTTGCGTTTGCGTTCGCCGTCACGTCGGGGACGATAACACGAGTGTCCGGCTGACAGCAGCAGACGAACCCGAGCGTTGGTCAGGACTCCCTGTTTCATAGGAAAGCCCTGTTTGTCGTTTCCACCGGCGATGCGGACCACATAACCGGCCCACTCGTCGCCCAGGGAGTCCGCCTCCACCTCCTGTCCCATCCGTTTCTCGTAAAAGATGCGGACCTTCTTCTCATCGTCGATGTCCAGAAGCTTTTGACATCCGGTCGCCGGATACGATATATTGAGCTATCATTTGACAAACAATTCAATTAATATGAATTCAATTCAATTAAAACATAACAAAAGTTTCAATGAGTTGTCGGCACAATAGCCATCACTACAAACACTCGCAAAACAGACAACTCTTTAGTAAAACAATGGATTGAAAGGGAGTTTATAAATGAGATAAAATGCAATGAAATGTAAATAAAATTAGCGGTAATTGTGATTAAATTGAATGAATACTTACTTTCATGTTGTCGTCGGTTAACAGCAAATCCACTCAAAAGGAAAAGGAAGTCATTTCAGGGAAACGTGTAAACCATTCAAACACACAGTTCTGCCGTCTATTGAACGCATCACTGAATCAATGAATGACTCTTTGCTATCATGTGTTATGTTTTGAATGAAATGTAAACTTCATTTCAATTGCAATTAAGTGTCATAAATGAGTGGCTATTGCCTAAGAAGTCACCCCATGGTTGGTCTCAACCTCCTGCGGGCCTTCAAACAGTTGTCAGTGAATCGATGGCAGAGTTTATGTTTGTTTCCAACCATTTGTCAAAATGAATCAAATTTTAATTCAAAAGCAAATCATATGAAGAAAATGCCGAAAGAAGAAGTGATTGCTTTTGATCCGCGTTTTTGCGACACTTTTGGTGCTCTCGGCGGTTATCACATGAAATACAAGCGATTAGCGGCCGAAGATCTGCCCGACGATGAAGACAATTATGACTCGTTAGAGATAAAAAGAGGCCCAAAAATGGCAGAAATTGGTTACAAGAAGTTATTGCATAAATACATCAATAAAAAGCCCATTCAGATGAAGAAGGCCCTCGAGGTGTACAATAAGATGATATCCGAAGATCGCATTCCTCCCGATCGATGCACTTATACTCTATTGATAACCGGCTGCGCAAGAGTTGGATTCACTGACAAAGCCATTGAGTTGTTTGAAGAGCTCCTGAAGTACGAAATGAGACCAACGAAGCCGGCGATGACTGCTCTGTTCAATGCCTGCGCTGAGTGTCCTTTCCCTGAGTCGGGGCTACAAAAGGCTCGATATCTGAGAGATTGGATGACTACTAATGGATTCGTCGCTAATACTCTTCATTACCACTCAATGATCAAAGCATTTGGAAAACTCGGAGATATGGAGACCGCCTACCAATTAGTCGATGAAATGGTAGCCAACGGACAGACAACTACTGACGAGACATTTGCGATGCTATTAATGGGCTGTATTTCCAACAAAGAGTCGGGTCTTTACGAAGCCATCAAACTATTACATCGAATGAAGTTTCATAACATGTGTCTAACTATTTATACTTTCAATCTATTGCTCAGAGCTGTCAGGGATTGTGGCATTGGATCCGAACATAATCTTAAACTACTTATTGAGAGATCCAATGGTCCGCCACAAGAATCTGCTCAAAGCAATCGAAACAAGAAAAGTAAAAATATCTCCAAATCTCCGCCAATGTCTTCAAACATGAGAGAGACTGGCGTCTCATTAAGAGATACATCTGATGACAAGTCATTGATTGTCAGAACTCCTAACCTATTGATAGAAAATAGTTTAAATGAGAAGAATGTTATTAATATAGACTTTAAATCCCTGTCCACTGCTTGGAATCGGTTTATGCTTTTGGGGGGAATTGAAGGCTTTATTCAAATGATGACAGCATTTAATGTTAAGCCGAATATAAATACATTGACTTTAATGTCAGAATTAATCGATTTTAGAGAAGAGTCAGAAGACGTGATTTTGAAATTAGTGGAGAAGTTTGGTGTGAAAACAGACACCGATTTCTTCAACATTCTTATGAAACACGTTTGTCGTCGAAGAGGAATGATTGGCGCAAAACGAGTGATTGAGAAAATGAGTGAAAAGGGTCTCCAACCAGATATCCTCACATTCGGTGTCTTGTCTTTAGGCTGTAATGACATGAGTTTAGGGAAACAACTGCTCTCTGATATGGAAGAGATGAACATTAAGCCAAACATTCAAATAATTGGCGGATTAATGACCAACGCCTGCAAAGCCAACAACTTTTTATACATTAATTTTTTGATTCATTACATGAAAGACAATGACATCAAACCCGATCAGAAACTAGTCGAGAGCTTAGAGTTAATTAAATTAAAATTTCAGAAAATATTATCCGATTACGACTGGAATAACACGGAAATGAACCAAAGATTCAAAAGTGAGAAATTTAGGAAACAGTTCTCACTCTTTAAGGATAATTACGAGAATTGCATGAAAAGGATGACACTCCAAGATAAACAGCATCCGTGGCATCAGTTTCAAATCCAAGAGATTCCAAACAAGAAAGGAATGCATTCTTTCGTCAAATTCATGAAACACAAGATTCAGAGGAGACGAGGAATGGGTGACGAGTCAGAGCTCGACGAGTATGAAGAGGACGAGCTCTACAACGAATGAATCCATTGTTTAATTATGGCAATTTATTTTGATCTAAATTCAGAAATAGTTTTAAATAACTTGGTATTGAATTTTGATTTCTGTTAATATATATATATATTAGTAGCTTATTTGGCTCAGAAATCAGAAGAAGGAGGAGCTCCTGAGCGGTTCCGGTCTGAGTCTTCCTCAGGTTCTTTCGCTTGACTCGTCCGTGACGTCCGCCACCGAACGGCGACTTCAGCGAGAAGTCGATGTGCTTTTCAGAGTCCAGTCTCACCACAAACGACGGGATGTTCACCACTTGTTTGCGGACTCGGATGTGTCTCTGTCTGATGAGAACCCTGGCGTGATGTATAGACTTCGCTAATCCGTGTTTGAAGACTTGCGTCTGGAGTCGACGCTCGAGGAAGTCCTCAATACGGAGCCCTAAGACGTAATCCAATTTCATGCGGCCCTCGTCTAAGACCCCGATCCGCACCAAACGTCTCAACAGAGCGTTGCCTTCGAAGAGACGGCGCGAGTCCTTCTCGTCAAGAGTGAGCAGATCTCTGGCGGCCTTTCGGATCTTTGCCAGAGTGTACTTCACTCGCCAGACCTCTCTCTTGTTCCGGAGACCGAACTCTCCAATCAGTTTCAACTCCTGATCCAACCTCTCCTTCTCGAAGGGACGTCTGGGCGTCACATAAGTCTTGGAGTGGACAGTCGGCACGCGACCCATGATTGCGATGACCTAAACACCAATAATATGTCTATAGTCTTGAATCAATTAAACCATTTACTCATATAATTGACTGATTT